AAAAACTTAAAAAGTTAAATAGAGAAATAAAATAAAAATATAATAAAGGAGAGAGAGAAGCAGTGAATGTGTCCTCTGAAAAAGTAAATTAGTTAAGAGTAATTAATTGAGTAAAGTCATAAATAACAGCTCTGTTACATTTCACGTTTTGACGAGACTCGAGATGCTTAACGGTAAATATAATCCATCATTAAATAATGTAAAAGTTCCTTTTACTTTTCACATGAACACACATGAATAAAGGAGGTTGTCTAGTCAAGATCCAGTTTTTTTTTACATAGTAAATACTTAAATTTTACAGTGGATTAAAAAGAAAAAAAACTTGAAGCAAACAGAGAGATTTATAATTTTAAAATAAATATTTATTACCGTTATTTTATTTTTTGGAAGCTTTAATCTGAAAAAGAAGAAAAAAAACTGAAATTGTCTTGTTGCTCAATAAGGTGAAATGATTGATTCTATGAGCTCTTGTAGAGGGGCGAGTTCTTTCTTGTCGATCAGTCCAAACTCCTGTCAATACCAATGACAAAAGAGTTTAGTGAAATGATCAAATTGTGAAATTTTATTGAGAGACTGTTTAGAACGAGAACTCACATGAGTAAAGAGGATGAAATGTTTGAAGCAAGTGTTCAGATGAGCTTCTTCTTTGAGGCTAACAATTTTCTGGAAATGAGAATGGTATATATGTGCATAAACACGGAATAGCCGTTTAAATATCGTTTTCACCACATCCTTGAAGTTCTGAGGAAACGGTGCTCCTGTAACAAAACCGAAGATTAGTATTAGGGATATCGATATAGAACGTTTAGTTGTTGATTGATCTCATGGACGTTATAATTTACCAAGTCTTTGAGGAAATAAGGTCTCATCATCGAGTTGAGTCTCGATCCAATCCATCAAGTATTCGACATATTTTGGAGCAGAAACCTCAATTGGCTTCTTGATCTGTACACCATCAGCCCATCTATATTCATACCTGCAAAGAGGATTGGGCTGTGTTAATAAAAAAGCATGTAATGAAAGAATTCATAGCAGCAAGAACATAAGCCATATTATTGGTTTGACAGGAAAAATGCTCAACAGAGAATGACAAAAAGTGGTAGGTTCTTAGTTGGCACTCTGTTTAGATTTTGAAGTCATCTTGTAACAGAGGAACAAGACAGAAATGGTACCTTTCAAAAATAAAAAATGAGTGCATGATAAAAGATTTCTTCAGAGAAGACTATAGAGATCCAAAAACATTAGCCTAAACTCTTTCTAATCTTCAGAGTTGCAAAGACATCATAACAATTGAACAAGCTTGATTGCACAGCAGACCACTTGAAGACCAAAAATATAATCACAGCGAGGAGAAAATATATGATATGAGCCTGTTAACAAATTTGTTTCTTCTCAAAGAAATAGGATGATCCTCTAATCAATAAGTTACTCTCAAAGGTTGAAGCCAAATATGTAATAATAACACATAGTAAAAGAGGTGAGGCAATACTTGGGGCCAGCAGTCATTGTAGGACAGTTATCTGGTGTGCAGAACTCGGTAAGCGTACCATATAGCAAATTCACCTGATTAAAGAAATCCACAGCTGAAACGAAAAACAAATTATCAACAAAAGCTATTGCAGTAAGTAAGTATTCAACTGCTGCATTAAATCCCAAAGACTAAGTAAACACTAAAGTAACCATGAGGCTGCAAGCAGAGTGGTACTCACTGTTTACAGCAAGCCATTCATTTGCATCCTCTCCTGGAGGAAGTCGTACAGCTTCTCTCAAGTTCCCACTTCCTAGGGTGGCATCTATATGCTTTCGAAGCTGTGCACCCTATATTTCCGAAAGAAACAAAATGTTAAACAAGAAGAATCAAACAGTAGATTTCAGGTCAACTAATCAACGACTGCAGAACTCAAAAACTATAGAGTTTCAAAGACATAAACAATAGAAAAGAAGAAGGTCCAATAGTTTACAAACCTTGCTTCCTGAAGGTGCACTCTTTTTAGGACGAAAAGTCTTCTGATTTCTATTATAGAAGGGAAGAACAGATGTTGTCAGACAAATCATCAATGTTGAATAAAAAGCACTCATGAGAACATGATAATGTAATCCTATACATAAAAACGTATTCGATTCAAAACGGCTATAACTGCAACAAATCTACTAGTACACCTTATATATCCTAGAACAAAATATTTGAGTAACAATCACTGCATATGTGACAGGGATGTATCATGAGTTCTGAGCAAACAAAACAAATCTGATCATCATTGAATACCTAACTAGTAAAAACAAAAAAAAAAACAAATCTGAGGACATATATAAGAAGGATCATAATCATTAACTAGCTCTCACTAAGATTTGAAGCACTGAGAACAAATCCACAACACCAATGATTTTAAATCCAATCAAGAAAACTCTAATCTGTATAAAATCAACAGCTTAAAAACACTACTTGTACAAATGAATCACAAGATCATGTAAACGGATCCGTTTACTCAATTCATAAATCAGATCAAGAACTTCTCACGATATGTAAACACACAGGAGACCCTTAAATCATCAATTCACAGCCCAAAAAAAAAAGCTCAACCATGAACCTGATTCCAGAACTAGATAGAAAAGTAACGAATCACCGATCGATAAAGTAAAGTTTGATAGTAGAGATCACAAGTTCTGATTTCGCAATCACAAAACGAAACATAGAAGAACCAAAATCAATCCGAGAAAATCCAGAACCACACGAATCAATGATCCTACACAATTACAATGCACGGGAGATTCTCCTCAGAAGTAAAGAGATTGAAATCACAGATTGAAACAAAATCACAGATCTGAGATTGCAAAACAATCATAAAAAAAAAACAAAATCTACAAACTCAACAAAAAATTACGCAGAACGAGACGAAGAAGAAAGATTCTCACCTCCCAAGACCAAAGAGACTCATGGCGACAAAAAGCAAGCGAGAGAGAAAGAGAGATTCGAATTAGCTTTTTAATCGTCAGGTGGAAATGAAGAAAAGAGAAGTCTCTCTGTAAAGACGGGAAATAAAAAAAGTGAGAGAGTATTTATACGGTGAAGACGAAAGACTCGTTGATTCTCTTTCTCTCTCCTTATTAGCTGGCATATTTTATAGAAACCCTTTAACTTTTTGATTGTTTAGATTTATACCCTTAACTAGTAAACTGTCTTTTCTTTTGTTCAAATAAATTGTCTTTATGAATCAATTATTAGCTGGAAATTTTATTTTGTATCACTTTTATGGGACATATAATCTATAAAAAAATTACATTTTCCAACTATATTTGGAGACATGCAAAAAAAAAAATTATAAGATATTAGGACCAAATGATTGGATATATATGCCTAAATATCGGATATCTTGCCTAATATTCTAATAACCTGATAAGTAATCTAAAATACTGGATATATGGTTGTAAGAAAAAACGGATATTCAATTATCCGGTTTGAAATTTAGTACTATTTGTATCCATATTCGTCGTAGCCATCATTTTACTATCTGTATATGTAACTGGATATCTGTTTTTTGGAGCGTACAAGTATATGCGGTAACAAATATTAATCACATGCCTATTTTTGGGCTTTAACAAAGAAAAACAAAAAAGTGAGTATTATTTTTTGAAAATTAAGATATTTTGATTCATATCAACTATGATAGTGTACTATTATTCGGGTTTGGATCAAAAATTTTGAATATCAAATTTTTGAAATAAATCGGAGCGGATCTTGGACCGTTGATATTATTACTAGTTTTTTTATTTGGTAAAGATAATAATTCTAGTTTTTATTACACAAAGATTAGAATAATGGAATTCATGGCAACAGGAAATACAATGATTAAGAAGTTGCTTCCACCATGACAATTTTCATTTTTATTAACTTTTACATAATCTTTCTTTAAAAGAAAAAAAGAACCTTAACGCAATTGTTTTTCTGTGTAGTCAAGTTAATATATTAACCAAATGATGTAACGTGTTATGATGTTTTAGAGCAAAAGATTACATAATTTTGAGAATTACATCCCGCTTGCTTGGCCAATCTATTTGTTTGCATAAACTGATAAAAGTAAACATACATGATCTCTTTGGAATTTTTATAATGCCATCAGCAAGATATGTTTCGATTAGGGAGTAGTTCCATCTAGGATTGATGTGATGTAGAGAAGTATATGTTGAAGTGTTTGATAAATCGAATTCAAATCTTCAAAGATCCATGACTGCCAAGCTAAAGCAAAGAGTACTGACTCAGCCTCAGCTAAGGTTTAGAGCACATGTTAGTCAGTTGTCTTGTCTACCTCCTTTGTTATATAAGGAACCTTCACATATTTTAGTGTACACACAAAAAAAAAACTAATAAATGGATGGATTAATAGATAATATATGTTATGTAACTAAATGTGCAACACGAGTGACAAGGCCACTGAAAAGATAAATTAAAAAAGCACCATTCATGTCCGATTCCTTCTCCTCTTCAGACAACAAATTGAGAGAGCTCGGATACTTTAAAGTTAAGTAAGAACTATTCAGAAGCATTTAGTGTCAGAACTCAGAAACTGAAAACAGAGGAAGTGTAGACAAGTTTCAAGCAAAAGCTTCTAACTTTAACTGAGAAGCTTAAAAGCTTCCATGTTCTAAGCAGTTGGGAAGTAATATACTACATATGTGTGTACATATGTTAGATATCATGTGAGAAACATATATTAGAATTTTGTCTTTTTGAGTAGTTTACTTAGGTTCAGAAGAAACGAACAAAGACTAGGAATCAAGAAAAAACAAAAAAACATAAAGCAAAAGAGATTAAGATATTATTTCATTACAGGCAAGGTATAAAGTCACCTCTAGTGTAACAATAACACTTTGATGGTCTGTGTTTCTATTTCAAGTCTCAGAACAATAGAAAACTAAGAAACTTCAACTTTATGTGAACGAAACGTTCTCTAACCTTTGACACATCCACAGGTGCGGTTTCATTGGAGAAGAAGGCAAAAAAGATGACTGAGATGATTCCACCGCGTGTGAAGAAACTTTGGGACAAATGGAACATACGAGGAATCATAATACTCAGTCTCATCCTCCAAACAATCCTTATTTTCTTTGCACCAAGCAGAAGACGCACGGCAAAGAAGCTCTTCCTTGTGCTCATATGGTCAGCTTATCTTCTTGCTGATTGGGCAGCTGATTACGCGGTTGGGCAAATCTCAGACAGTCAAGAAGAAGAAGCTGAAAAGCATTCCAAGAACAGTGAGCTTCTAGCTTTTTGGTCACCGTTCCTTCTCTTGCACCTTGGAGGTCCAGACACCATTACAGCACTTGCCCTGGAGGATAATGAGCTTTGGAACAGACACTTGTTTGGTCTTGTCTGTCAAGCCCTCGCCACTGTGTATGTGATATTGCTCTCTATACCAAATAGGCTTCTGACTCCAACCATAATCATGCTTGTGGGTGGAGTGATCAAGTATGTGGAGAGAACAGCTGCCTTGTTCTCAGCGAGTCTTGACAAGTTCAAGGAGTCTATGCTCCAAGATCCTGATCCTGGTGCTAATTACGCGAAGCTCATGGAGGAATATGAAGCTAAGAGGAACATGAATATGCCAACCGAGGTAATTATGATGGAGGATCCAGAGGAAGGAAGGGAAGGCAAGACTCCAGTAAGGCCTGAGGCTAAATTGACACCACTTCAAGTTGTTCAGTATGCTTACAAATACTATAACATCTTCAAAGGTCTTCTCGTTGATCTAATCTTTACAATTCAAGAACGCGACGAGAGCAGAGAATTCTTCGACTCACTGACCGCAGAAGAAGCATTAAGAATCATCGAAGTAGAGCTCGGCCTCATCTATGATTGTCTGTTCACCAAAGCAGAGATTCTTCATAACAAGACTGGAGTTGTGTTCCGGTTCATAGCTTTGGGGTGCCTTGTTGCGTCTCTCTGCCTCTTTATGATGACTAAGAAAAACCAATACGATGGATTCGATGTTGCCCTTACTTACGCATTGCTCATATGTGGAATAGCTCTTGATTTCATTGCTCTTCTCATGTTCTCTGTATCTGACTGGACCATCGCTAGACTGAGGGATCTAAAGGACGACCTGTACGAGAAGGACACTTGGGCAGACGGAGTTCTCAACTGGATCCTCGATTTCAAGACGCTGAAGTGGAAAAGATCCAACTGTTCCCCTGATGGACATAAAGTGCTCAGCAGAAATTTTTTCTTACGTAGATGGTCTGAGTATATTCATGCTTACAACTTGATTGGATTCTGCTTGGGGATACGTCCCAAGAGAATCCATCACACCAAAGGTACGATACACAGATTCTTTGACCAGACCATTCACATTTTGTGCATAGATACTGTCATCAACAAAACCATCAGAGGAACTCGCCAGTTTGGTCGCTTTCTCACTCGATTGTCTAAAATAGACAATCAGGTAATGCGTACAATTCTACTTTTTCTTCGTCTCCTCGGACTATTGATCTACGATTTCCTAGATTTTTTCGGTATCAAAGACTTGGTTGAAGAGATAAGATTCACGGTAAGTGATCGCCTCACCAAAGAGCTATGGGAGTTCATATTTCAAGAGGTGCGACTAAAACACCGCTTTGCTGAAGACCAAGAAAGCTCAAAGGATATATCTTCAGCTAGAGGAAACTGGACATTACTCGAAGCATCGCGCAATAAAAAAGAGGACGGACCAGACTATGCGGTACTCCTACGGTATGTGACAGAAAAAGATTACGATCAGAGCATTCTACTATGGCACATCGCCACAGAACTCTTCTACCAAGAACAAATGAAAATAAAAGTCACAGAGAAACAAGAACTCAGTAACCGAGAGTTCAGCAAAATCCTTTCTGACTACATGATGTATCTCATTATAGTGCAGCCAACTCTGATGTCTGCTGTTTCCGGAATTGCAAAGATACGTTTCGTAGACACATGCGCAGAGGCAAAAGACTTTTTCAGTAGGAGGAATATCTACGAATCGAAAAACGAAGAAGAGAACCTTGTGAACGAAGCCAGTCGAGCTATTCTCTCTGTCAACACCGATGTTGACCCTATGGCTGTGAAAGGAGACAGATGCAAATCCGTGTTTTTCGATGCAAGCGTGCTTGCAAAGGAGATGAGGCGGTTGAAAGATGAAGGCGAAAACATGTGGGAAGTAGTGAGCAAAGTGTGGGTTGAGATGCTTTGTTATGCAGCTATTCATTGTAGCTCCCAAGAACATGCTTCTCAACTCAGCAAAGGTGGCGAACTCATCAACTTTGTTTGGTTACTAATGACTCATTTTGGACTTGGTGATCAGTTCCAAGTCAACAGGGATGATGCAAGAGCCAAACTGATAGTGTCCAAGTGAGCTAGATTATATTCAAATATAACTACATAAACTCAGTTTTTTTCCCTATTTTACTTTATGCACTAATCCCTTGAATAATATGCGCAATATGTAGTGTAATAAACTTCATCTATCTTATTAGTGTCATTCAAGATTTAATTAGTATCATCTCGGTAATCAGTAATCACACAACTCATCGGACCCTAAAACCCCAAATCTCTACTAGAAACTTTAGTCACATAATGACATAAACTACTTGTAAGAAAACCTAAGCAAAACTAAACATTATTTTACAAAAACAAAAAACACCTAAATCCCCAAATCTACATTGAAATCTTCACTACAAAAACCTACTTACAATACCGAAAAACCTTCATTGAACTAAATTAGAGTAGAAGCTTCATGATTGAGTACCATTGATACTGTCTTTTCTCTCTTCCTCGTTCGTCCTCTACTTGTGCAGTTCTAGCCTTTAACTTGATCATGATCTCAATATATTATTTACTATGCAAATATATCTTTTATTTTATACTTTAATATATATTTTTATTTATTTTATTTACTTTGATATTTAACTTGATACTTTTAATAAGAGTAACTATATATTTTTAAACGAACCTTCGAATTTACTACTTTTTAACCCTTGGAAATATCAAATAAACTATCAAGTTTTAGTTGAATGTTGTTAATAAATGATAAATTTTTGTTGACATGTCTATTTGAAGCATAAGATTGTGTATCATGCACAGTAGTTGTAGATGCTACTATTGATAACAGTCACGCTAATCGCTCTACATACCACTACGAATCGCTTAAAGCTATTTGGAATTCGGTATATTTCAAAAGATTTTTTGTCAAGCAGCAGGTGGTTCATATAACGTTTTTAAGAATTTATTTTTATCTATATTAATAATAATAATTCATCGTAAATGGAAAAATTATAAATTTATATTTATTTATAAGGAATTCTTAAATATATTTTTGAATACATGTTATGTATATATATATATATATATATATATAAATTGTTAAACATACCATTTGAGATAACTCTTTTCAAAATGCCCATTTTCTGTCCGTTTTCAGTTTTGCCTTCTTTAATTTTTAATGAACATTTTACACTTATTTGACAATTACTTAAGTCAACAAATGAAAAAGTGAATTTTTCTGCCAAAAGTTTTTTCAAAGAAAAATCATACATCGATCCTAACATTTTACCCAATTTTTGGTAGGAACCGAGATTTGGCAATTTGCGGAAAATTTTACAAGTAAATACCTTGTAAAATGAACTTTTGTACAATCTAAAAATACTACAATTGTACAGATGAAAAAGGAAAAAACTGAAGTAAAATATAAAAAAGGAAAAAAACATAGATTGACTCAGATATTTATAACTAATAACTAAAAATAAACCAAGATTTTAAGTATTTTTTCATTTTATGATTAATAATATACATTATTATATTTTATTTACTTTTAGAAAAAAAATTGTAATCTTTTTAGTATTGGGATATGTAACTTGTTGTGTAATTTTTAATATATTTATATACCTTTTAAATAACAAAATATAATCTTTTTACTTTTACTTGGTAATTTATTGTATAATTTTGTTTTACACGTGTTAAAATCTAGTCAGTAACTTTGAAAATCAGACTTTAACTTATACAATAAAATATTTTTTAAAATCAAGATATTTATAAAATATAATGACAAATAACCATTATAGTTATAAATAATAACATAATAAAAAAAGAAGGAATTTTCTAAGGAATTACTGTAATTTAAGGTTTTATTAATGTTATATACACTGACTCAGGTTTTTGTCCGTTACACATAATCAAGAAAAAAGAAAAAAAAAAACAGAAAATCCTTGCACTATTCGATTAAGTGTAATGTGTGTGAAAGACTAAAGTATGATTTTCTTTATTTTATCATCAACAAGGAAAGAATATTTTATTCTGACACACACAAAAAAAAGCCCTTGCATTAAAGAGTTACCGTGGAATATAAGAAAGGAATGCATAATATAAGGACTGTACTAGGAAAAATAGAGTATGTAACAGCAAATATATATATAACATGGCAAGAGAGCATGAAACAGCAAATTTTGATACTTAAGATTTTTTCGAAAAAAAAAAGAGTAGTAACAATGCAAGTGATACCACCAGAAATAAAAAAGATCTTAGACAAATGGAACATCAGAGGACTTGTGATAATGTCTCTGTTGTTCCAAACGTTTCTCATCTTCCTCGCGCCGCTTAGGAAACGCATATCAAAGAAGTGGGTCGCTGCGGTTCTATGGACAGCGTATCTTTTAGCGGACTGGACCGCTAATTACGCGGTGTCTCAGATCACTAAGAACCAAGGGAAAGAACCAGAACCTGGTGATCCTCCAAAAAACAAGAAGCTACTTGCTCTGTGGGCACCGTTCTTGTTGCTGCATCTTGGTGGTCCAGACACCATAACCGCCTTGGCTCTTGAGGATAATGCGTTATGGAAACGTCATTTGCTTAGCCTCGTCTCTCAAGCGCTCGCAGGTAAGTAACATGTTGATACATTTTGGATATATAAGAAATATACAGTACTATACTTATGTACGTAGCATATATAGATAGACCACTTTTATCACTTATCAAGTAACAATATAGTAATTTAGCAAAAAAAAGAAAAAGTAACAATATAGTAGATTGCATGGCATCCATTAGCATATTACAATTATGTTAAATAGTAAATTAAGCTTTTCTTACTAAATAATCAGTATGAGTTACCCAAGTGGATGGATCCAGTAGTAATCATCAGTCCTTAAATTAATCTTATAATTAACCAACATATATAAATAAAACTGTTAATAAAACCAATAATTTAAAATTTTATGTATCGCATAAGTTTTTTCTTATATATGATAGATGATTTAAAATAAGAGAAATTCCCTCCATTTAGATTTTAAGTTTTTTTTTTGTTCAAGATTCTTCAAAGAATACCCTAATTTGTTTTTTTTTGTTCAAAAATACCCTAATTTGTTTTTTTTCCAAAATATCATAAAAGTATTATTTTTATTAAATATCATAAACATAAAAATTGATTTTTGAAGGTTTAAATTTTCTTTTTTAGGTTTGGATTGACTATTTTATATTTAATGATATTGTTTTTAGAGGTATGGTCTAGTGTTTAGAAATTATTTTAAATGTTAAAGAATATAGTTTTAAATTAGTGGTATTTTTGAAAAAAAAAAAATAATTTAGTAGTATTTAAAAACAATATATAATAGTATTTTTGGAAAACATATATTCATTTTTGAGCTATTTATGACAATTCCCTTTTAATGATGTCTGTTTTCAGGTGTTTATGCGGTGGTGCAATCGATGGAAAATGTATTATGGCCACCAATCACACTGTTATTCATCACCGGAACAATAAAGTACGTGGAGAGGACACGAGCATTGTACTCGGCGAGCTTAGACAAGTTCAAAGACAGAATGCTTAAACCAGCAGACACTGGTCCTAACTACGCTAAGCTAATGGAAGAGTACGATTCCAGAAAAAAGTCAAACCTCCCAACTGAAATCTTCTTAACCGAAGAACCCGGCAAGCACGAGAGACCCCCGACACTCGTAAAACCCGACCGCGAATACTTAACCAATCTCGAAATCGTTCAATACGGCTACAAGTTCTTCGAGACTTTCAAAGGTCTTGTTGTTGATCTCATTTTCAGTTTCCGTGAGCGAGACGAAAGCAGAGATTTCTTCAAAAAGTTGAAACCTGGAGAAGCTCTTCGGATTATAGAGACCGAGCTCGGTTTTTTATACGAATCAATGTATACTAAAACCGCGATTCTTCATTCGAAAACCGGTACTCTGTTTCGGTTGATTGCGTTTGGAACACTTCTTGCATCTTTTTTTCTATTCCATCGTAGACCGCTTAAGTATGATGAGTTTCATGGAGCTGATGTTGTGATTACTTACGTTTTGTTTTTCGTTGGCTTTGCGCTTGATTTTGCCTCATTGGTCATTTTCTTGCTCTCGGATTGGACATTCGCTGTATTGAGACCGCTTAAGGATGACCCCGAGGAAGAAAAGAGCTCTATCGACTCTTTATTCAACTGGTTTCTCGAGTTTAGGAAACCGCAGTGGAAGGAGCATATATGCAACGGTAACCAGAGCCACGAGGTGCTCACAACGGGGTTTTTCTCACGGAGATGGTCAGGTACTATCTATGGTTTCAATTTCATCGGATTTTGTCTGAAAGCCAAAGTTTCAAGAATCCATCAGAAGAGAAGCTGCAACCTTTTCGTGTGGGATTCCATCGTTTTAGTATTCGATCGGGTAATCAGAAGCATCCAGATGTTGGTAGGATCGATCAAGGATGTTAATAGATCAATCAGAAGTGTTTTGAGGCAACGGTCTAAGAAAAATAAGATGTTTCGTTACACAGTTTACGCGGTATACCTAGTGCTTTTTGCGGGTATTCCTGAAGTTTTCGCGGTTCTTTGGGGCTACATTGATAGAATCTTCAGTGTTAAATCTTATCTAGACGAGATTAGGTTCATATCGAGAGAGCCTTTGACAAAGAATCAATGGGAATTCATATTCTACGAGCTCAAGGATAAGTCCGAGTTTGCGGAAAAACCTGAAGACGCAAAGAAAGTGTCTTGGGCGAGAGGAGAATGGGCTTTACGGGATACAAAACTGGTGGAAGTTGATAGATTAATGCTTTATATAGAGAATGTTGATTATGATCAAAGTCTCCTCCTTTGGCATATTGCTACTGAGCTCTGTTTCCAAAAAGAAGAAGGCGAAGAGATCAAGAATCTGAGCAGCGAAAGCTACGACGACCGCGAATTCAGCAAGATTATATCGGACTACATGATGTATTTGTTGATAATGCAACCGAAACTGATGTCGGAAGTGGCTGGAATCGGGACAATACGGTTCAGAGACACTAAAGCTGAAGCTGAGAGGTTTTTCAAAAGTAGGTATATCAAGGACTCGAGAGATATGAAAGGAGCGAGTGAGACGGTTTTATCAGTTGATAACAAGATTGAGCCAATGCTTGTGAAGGGAGACCGAAGCAAGTCGGTTCTTTTCGATGCGAGTATGCTGGCGAAAGAGCTTCAGAAACTGAAAGAGAGTAGGAACGGAGATGGGAAGTGGAGAGTGTTGAGAAAAGTGTGGGTTGAGTTGCTATGTTACGCAGCAAGTCATTGTAAAGCTACGGAGCATGTGGCGCAACTTACAAGAGGTGGAGAGCTTCTTAACTTTGTTTGGTTGTTAATGGCTCACTTCGGTTTAGCTGATCAGTTTCAGATCAATAAAGGAGATGCTAGAGCTAAACTCGTTGTAGGAAAGTAATAAATCTGTTTTTAGTTTTTTGTTAGTTTGTGTGTTTGTAATCTCTTTTGGCTCTATATCTAATTTCAAGCAATATTAATCAAATTTCGTTTGATTAAGCTAAGGACATAGATTGTCGACTCATCAACAGAATTGGCATTGATATGTTGTAAAAATAAAATCATATAAAACTGAAAAAAGAAATTTAATTCGAATCAAATTGTTATCCGCCTAAGAAAATTGAAAAATCTAGTTTACAACTACATAGTTCGTTTTGTCTAGTGTAACAACTTAAAAATGTTAAGTTTTAGCAACTAGATGTTTCTTTTGAACAACCAACCATATGTTTGGGAAAAAAAATATTTTATACCTCTACTAAGCTCATATGTTTGATTAATACCTAACTATATCAACATGCTAATTCATACCTCAACTAAATATTATTTCAAATTTACTACGCAAACTTATAAATTTGTGCAAAATCATACATAAGTTGTCACAGTGATAAAGAAACTATTACAGTTTGATGCTTTTCCTTATGTTTATAGAAGAAATACTTATTTCTACAAAAAAAAGAAAGACTTATTTTCTCAAAGCTTGGCTTACAAGGAATAATCTATGGTTCAGATTAACTTAAGGTTTAGAAACAAAAGTAAGGATTTAGAAGAAGTTGTTTAGAAGTCCATAAGATGGATTAAGTTTTTGGTGTAAAGATGAACCTATGGAACCTTTTAAGGGTCGTGTGTTTCACATGGGATACTTTGCTTCTTCACTTTTTTCCACACTGAAACTTTTCTTCTCCCATGATTCCATTTCTTTGTCCTAATGAGGAAGCAAAGAACAGTGTCTTTGGATGCTTTTCCTCTGTCTTCGTTCGATGACTATGAGAAGTTACCTACATGTTATAAAAAAAACGAAGAGTTTCTTGAGTTATTTTTTTATTCAGAAACAAAGGATCGGTCACAAGGTGTTCCATATAAGGTATCATGTTTCACCTATTCTTCTCAGAAATAAAGCTTTCTCTTTTTCTTTAGTTTTTGAATATTATTTGATTGTTGGAGACATTACAGTCCTTAGGACCATAAAGCTTGTTTCTTTATATAAACCATATGCAATTTTCTAGTCTTTTCATAATGGTGAATACATGTTATGTCTTTATATAAACCATATGCAGAGTCTTTTCATAATATAGTTAGTAACTTAGTATAAGGAACGTCTTATGGTTAGTTAGTCACCATTTTCTGAGACCTTGACTTGGTTCTTTCAAATATAGTCACATGGCTGATACATTAACTTTTAGGTCTGCAGTTGTTTATAAGTTTAACTAACTCCATTGACTCTCTGCTTTTTTTTTGACACAGAACAACTCTACACATCAAACGCAGTTACCATTCTGATCATGACGCATCAAGAATGTAACATCGATAAGATTATCAAATTCCTATCTGAGTTACAGACTTTGCTAAGTGTAATAGAAAAACCTCCATCCCAGAAAGCTACTGTTGACAACAATGAACAACTCACTGTTGGCAACAATGAACAACTAAGCGGAAGAACTGAGGAGAAAAGATCACCTTGGTGGGGTTGGATCAGAAAGAGAGTTAAAAAAGTTGGCAAGGTGAAGAAAGAGGCTTCAAACCATGCAAGTGAGAGTGGAGGCAGTCAAGGTGGAAGCAGAAGAAACGTGCGGACCATTGAGGAAGAGCAAGAAGATGCAGACCTAGAGATCCGGAAATTGCAGAGTGACATTCTTCAGATGATAACTGCATTTAGGAATTTGACTGAGTTTCAAACCCATATGAGCAAGTCATTGGAGCTTGATCTTCGTTCAGCTAAGTTAAAAGCAATACTACAGAAGACTGATTCAATCAGGTCTCGCTCTCACGATATCAAGGAAATCAGAAGAAAGGTCTTCACCCTGAAGTGCCAGATCCCATCATTGCTCCACAAACAATCATCCAGAGGGACAAGCATAACGGATACTCAAACCGCTGAGGAAAATGATAATATCAATGAGATCGGGAATGACATATACTTGCCCGGCCTCCATGTTCCTGAAGATTTCGAGTATTCCTCGGCTTTTGAAGAAGTTGTGGAGAAATTTCAAGGCCTTGACTTCCCTCAAAAGCTCTGCTTGCTGTCCTTTGCCGTGTTCCCGGAAAACAGAGAGGTTGAAAGGACAATGTTAATGTATTGGTGGATCAGTGAAGGTTTCATCAATTGTGATGATTCTGAAAACTCAGTATCAATAATTCTTGATGAATTCTCAAGAATAAAATTACTTGAGCCAGTAAAAGATGAGAGGAAACTGATACCAAGTAGCTATAGGATGGAGCCTCATGTGCATTCTGCAGTTATACACTTAGCCGAATCTGTAGACCTGTTTAAACTCTATAGTCCTAAAGGGAAGCGTATCATGGAAAAATCATTGAAGGAAAAGGTCTGCCTGGTAAGAGGTTCCTCGTTGCTACGAAAGGCAAAACCATCCGTAATGAAACCGGAAACGTTGAAGACGGTTTTCAATGCCTCTGAAAGGTACCCTGATTTCACATTCAAGTGGTTTCCTTTAATGAATTCACTAAGAGTGCTTTATTTGGGAAGATGGGAGCGGACTGCTAAACGTCACATTGAAGTTGAGAGCACAGAGTTTCTTAAAAATATGAAGACCCTGAAGAATCTGAGGCTTGCAAGTTTTCAAGGGATCTCGAGGATAGAAAAGCTCGAAAATTCAATTTGCGCACTCCCTGAGTTAGTGATCTTGGATCTTAAGGCATGCTACAATCTAGAGGTTCTTCCTAGCGATATTGGCTTGTTTGAGAAACTGATTTACTTGGATGTATCAGAGTGCTATATGCTAGATCGAATGCCTAAGGGGATAGCCAAACTCTCTAGATTACAAGTTCTGAAAGGATTTGTGATTAGTGAATCGGATCATGAAAATGATTGTGCAGTTAAACACCTGCTGAATCTGAGGAAGCTAAGCATAACTGTAAACAAAAATTCTTTCACCGTGGAAAGTCTGATGGAGTCGTTGACAGGCCTCAAGCAACTTGAGAGTCTGAAAATTGGGTGGGGGTTTCGATTTCGTCAAGATGGCCAAAACGGAGAAAAGATTGAAGAAACTAATGAAGCAGGTGAAAAGGATAACCAAGGAGGTTCTGAAACAGAGAAGAAACTCAAAGACATGATGGAACGAGATGATGAACAAGTGAAGAAGAAGGGACAGGCGAGCGGGGAGAAGAAAGAAGAGATAGAAGAAACGGGTAAGCAAGAAGATGGAGTTAGTAATAAGAAAGGAAGTGAAAAAAATGAAGAGGCTGATCTAGAAGAAGGGAAGAAGCATGATGAGGAAAAAGCAGAGACTTTAAAATCTGACAAGGTTTTAGAAGAAGAGAAGAAGACAATTCCTTCCCCAGAGGTAACAGAGACGATCCAGAACAAGCCAGACAATCAAAAAGGGAAAAACAAAGTGGAAGAGGAAGGAGATGCAAATAAGGGGAAGGCTGATCAGGAAGAAGGAAAGAAGCAAGATGATGCAGAGACATCGAAATCAAAAGGTGGCGAGGTAGAAAATAATACAAGTCCTTCCCAAGAGGCAACAGAGACGATCCAGAAGAAGCCAGATGATGAAAGCAAAAAGGAAAATGAAAAAGATAGAGACAAAGGGAAAGCTGATATAGATGAAGGAAAGAAACAAGATGATTTAGAAGCTACTAAATCGAAATCAGACAAAGATGTTGAGGGAGATGAGAAGATAAGTCCCCAACGAGATGAGGTAGAAGCTACGAAATCGAAATCAGACAAAGTTGTTGAGGGAGATGAGAAGACAAGTCCCCAACGAGATGAGGTAGAAGCTACAAAATCGAAATCAGACAAAGTTGTTGAGGGAGATGAGAAGACAAGTCCCCCACAAGAATCTAAAGAGACGATACAGAACAAGACAGATGATAAAAATAAAGCGGGAAACGAAGGAGATGGGGACAAAAGGCAGGCTGATTCAAAAGAAGGAGCGAAGCATGATGAGGTAGAAGCAGGGATCTCCAAATCAGACGATGGTGTTGAAGGAGTTCAGAAGCCCAGTCCTTCCCAGGATGATCACAAAGAAACTAAAGTGCAGGAGAAAAGAGATGGAGTTAAAGGAAACGCTGATCTAGATGAAGGAAACAAGAAAAATGAGGTAAAAGAAGAGAGCACAAAACCAGACAAGGTTATCGAGGGAGATGAGAAGAAAAAACCACCACAAGAATCGAAAGAGACAATCCAGAGCGAGACAGACGATCACAGTGAAATTAGCAAAGTGCAGGAAAATAAAGAGGGAGTAAAGAACGAAGATGATATAAAGAAGCTTGATGGTGGGGAAGCAAACACTGAGAAGTCACACAAAACCCTTAAGTTTGGTAAGACAGTGAGTTTTGCAGAAAAATCCAATGCGAAGAAGCCAGATGATCTGAAAAATGACAATGCAATGGCGGAAGAGATTTATGAAACAGCATCACCATCCAGGAAATCAGGATCAAAACTGTTCAAGGCATTCGGAAACCAAACCAAGAAATGGGGAATAGGATTGCTAGAAAGTCAAGCAATAGATAATACCTCTAAACTTCCTTCTAGTTTGAAGAAGTTGGAGCTAGAATGTTTCCCTGAAAAGGACCCTCCGAGTTGGTTAAATCCCAAAGATCTTAACCATCTTGCAAAGCTCTCCATCAAAGGAGGAAAGCTTAGCGGATTCGGTGATGAACTTCCAACTGCAGAAAACCAATGGCAGATTCAGATCTTACGTTTGAAGTATCTGCATGAATTCAAGGTTGAGTGGAAAGATCTGCAAGAACTGTTTCCAAAAATGACACTTTTGGAGAAATATAAATGCCCAAAAATCGCATTCTGTCCCACAGATGGTAATGGAATCTGGAGGAAGTCACCAAATATGTGAGTATAAGCTGCATAATGGCAAGAGCCTTTGTAACATCTGTAGAGATAATGTGGCTATACACCCTGAATAAGTATACATTCCTGCTTATTGTAACTAAATCTTTATCGTAAAGCCATAGAATCACAAGATCGTTCAAAATAAATATAATGTTTGAGAAAACAAAAACAATCAAAACAAGGGTCTTATTCACCCAAACAAGATCAGAACACTCTGCCTGGGATTTTTACTGCAGGAAATATCTTAAAACAGAAACAGGAAACAGTAAAAAAAAACCAGCAAGATGATATTTCAAACCCGGCTGCTATTCAACACGCAACAACTTCAGACACACCCAGAACAAGTACGCAAAGGATTAAAGGAAACGATCCTGATGCTTAATACTGTGTAAGTGGATCTTCCTCCAGCTACTTTTATGATCTTCATTCTTGTGGTGATGCATCACTGTGCTCAACCATAACGTAGTCCTGATACACGCAGTTTACAATGGTAAGATGAAGCTGAAAAGAGACAAGATTTGGTGCAAGATGACTTAAGCACCTACGACCTGCAAAAGGAGAGAAAATATGATGCAACTAATTTTTGACAATTTCGACTTCTTAAGTTTCCTCTTCTGATATATGCTTTAGTGTGCTAGAACTCTTTCTTTCTGATGAAAAACTATAAGAAAAAGAAAAGACATGCATTGATGGTCCTATATGTACACTGGAGAGGTGATAGAGTAGAAAGATGTAACTTACTCCGAAGATTGGGCAATTGTCGGGTTTTACTGTCAGATTAGTGTGAGATGACACTTCGACTCCTTTAACAACTTTCTCCAGGTTCTCACAATGCTTTACATTCAGGAATTCTAGGCTGCTAGGCATCTCCGAGAAAATTGTTTCGATTTTCGGGCAACAATCTAAGCTTAGGTTCTTCAGATTCTCGAAGCTACGGGCACAGCTTATTGTCTCCAATGATGGAAGATTTGTAATCGACAAAGTCTCCATTGATTTCAAGTGTTCTTCATCCACACCAGAGAAAAGGTCTTTTATTTCAGTGCACATCCTTAGCCAGCAACCCTTCACCGATTTGGTCTTGTTAAAGACAGATGTGAGCCTTGTAGGAGTACAGTCCACAAAAGACACAAACTCAGCATTAGCTAGTGCGGTCTCATCTAGCTCATTAGTTTCATTGATCTCCATAACTTCCTGTGAACTTTCGGAATCAACAAGTGATGATAGTGTATTCTTATACAGAGCCTTCTCTACGGGGACTTGGAGAAGACGTTCCTTGCTGGCATCTCCCTTCTCAATACAATCACTGGCGCGAGGTTCAGCTGATTGAATCTCTCTTGTTTCTTCTGAGATTTCTTGGGATGCAACAACTGCATCAGAGGAGCTAGGATTCTCAGATATCTCACTTGAAATTTTCATCCTTACTTCGTCCCAATCCTTACCTTCAAAAGGCCTTCCATCTGCCAGAATAATAAGCTTTACACAATGGATTTTGCTGTCCTTTGGCAATTCTGGTGTCCCCACTTTGGTTCCACGGAGATTCACAACACGTAAGTAAGACATGTCTTCAAATGATCCCTCGATCTTCGTCAGTTTGGTACTGCCTGAAACATCAATGACTTCGAGATTTGTGAGTTTCTGGATGTTTGGGATAGTATCTAGGTTGATACAATCCCGTAGGAGAAGTTCATTGAGACTGGTCAGCTCCTCGATGGTGGTAGCCAACTCGCTAAGATTAGTTCCTGAGAGATCAAGACTTTTGAGTTCATGCTTATCCTCGAAGCACACTTCAAGCATTTCCACTAAGCTCGTAGTGCCAGAAAGATCAAGAATTTGCAGGCCTGACAAGGGCTTCAAACTAGGCAATCTTCTCAATTTGCTACAGTTTCGCAACAAGAGCCGAGTCAAGGAGTGAAGCTTTTCACCCACCGCAGAGTCCTGGAATATTGGCAGTCGCTCTATTTGGCTCTCCGAGAAGTCAAGAAGCTGAAGTTTTTTAAGAAGATAAAAGTTTTTGTTTTTGCTTTTGTCTTTATTCGCACTGTCTGTGTTGTCGAAGCACGTTTTAAGCCCACGAGCACCAGAAATATCAATAACCTCAAGCTCTTTTAGTTCCTGTATGTTTGGCAAATCTTTCAACAAAGGGCAATCTTTGATGATGAGACAGTGAAGTTTCGTCAGTTGAGATATGCTGGGAGGGGATGATGTGATCTTAAGCTCAGAGAGGTGAAGACTTTGAAGTTCAAGAAATGATTTGAAAAATTCAGGAGAGATTCCCTCAAGGGAGCTGGCACCAGAAACTTCAAGAGCATTTAGCTTTGTAAGAGCCTTAAGCTCTTCAATACTTGTCAGTAGATCACAGTCCCTAATTACAAGAACCCGGAGGAGTTCGAGATGGTCTGCAAAAGACGGGATAAGAGGATCTAGTGTGGGTTCAAAAAGACCAAGTACTTCAAGCTTCTTCAGCTTCTCGAAGTACTTTTTAGGATTTTCACGACGCAGACGATCTCCACTAACCAGAATCGTGGTAATATTGTCTGCTTTCTTTGCTTGCACTGTTTTAATCATATCATCTATCTGGGTGATTTTCCCAATACCTTTATCCTTGTCACCGCCATAAACTCTAGAAAATACAAGTCGAGATCTCCCGAAATGCCCTCGACGTCGAGGATCAATTAAATTACTCATTGTCATCTCCGGTACCACCACATTGTTTTCTTGTATCTTCAGCATTCCACGGTTTATAAGCTCCATCAAGATGGAATGACCTTCCTGGTAAGCCTTTTCGACAGACCTAACAGGATCAAAGTAGCCTTCAAGCATCCACTGTGTGATCAGGTCACGGTAGTAAACACAGCCACATTGCTTAAAGAAGTCCAAGCTATGCCAAAAACAATCCAAGATGGCACCCTTTGATGTGTCATAGGTTTCCAACAGCACATACGCAAGATGCAGGATTGGATTGACATTGCTCTCAGAAGAACCTGAATCAGACCGAACAGCCGAGAGAACCTTTTCTATCTTTTCTTTTAATTTTTTAAAATTTTCTGGATTGGACATGCTCAACCGTGTATTGCTCAGCATAATTTTTAGGGACTTGGCTAGCACGACGATTGCAGCAGGCGAATTCTTGCTTTTTGTCACAATGTCAGATATGCAGTGTGCAAAACTTCCCACGTAGCCTTTTGTGATAAGAAACATAAACAAATACTGCAGGCTAGTATCATTGATTGAGTTAAGTAAAGCCTCCGACACATCCGTTGTATGGAACTTGATTAGATCATCATAACACTTTGTAGCTGCCAGCGACACATCTTTAGTAGATGGGCCACTGTCCGTATCACGCTTTGTATCTTGTATGTTCTCCGCGGCTTGGTCCTTTGTTTTCCCCTTATTATCTTTGTCCTGTGACTGAGTACCCCCATCTGACACAATTTCGCAGTCTTTCTTTGCTCCCTCTAGCTCTTCACTTATATTCTCACTCTTTGCTCCCTCTTTCTCTTCACTTATATCCTCAGTCTTTGCACCCTCTTTCTCTTCACTTATATCCTCACTCTTTGCTTCTTCTTGCTCTTCACTTTTTGCTCCTTCTTTCTCTTCACTTCTATCCTCACTCTTTGCTTCTTCTTGGTCTTCACTTTTAGCTCCTTCTTTCTCTTCAATTCCATCCTCACTCTTTGCTTCACTTTCATCCTCACTTTCTGCTCCTTCTTTCTCTTCACTTCCATCCTCACTTTCTGCTCCTTCTTTCTCTAGAATCTTTGTTGATTAGACTAACTCAATATCGGTGGGGCTCAAAAAAATAAAAGAAGATAACAAAGACATAAAATAAATATCTATAATATAATGAATCCCAAGGTTTCGGCAT